ATCTTTACCAAACACTCGGGACCAAAACCATAAACCATAAACTCTGCCACTGCTTTAGGTTGGAGACGGATCAGAACATGCGATCGTTTGCGCTCGTTGTTTTAGCTTTGCACATGGCGGCCATCACTGTAGCCCTTAATCCCTTGTTGACACAGGCTCCTGCACAGACACCATGCTGGGATTAACAAGCTGACAGCAAGAAAGAAGAGAGAAAACAGACAGAGGTGACTGTTCGTCTGCACTATAGACAAAGAACATGCGCACGCCTGAGCCTGTCTGAGCGTCTCAGAGAGACATAAAGGATGTTCAGAAATGCCTGCAAAAGAAATATCATCAGCACCATGAAGCATTTCAAACGTACATCTCTGAAAACTGTGTGTGTCCAAAAATAGTGCATTTACAGAGGAAGGAAAAAACATTCTTAACTTTAAATGTAAACTAATGTAATGAGATTTTATTCCAACTCATTCTAGAGTATTTCTATTGGTCCACTCATCAGGAATTTCACAAAAAGTAAAGAACATCTGCTGTGTTTAAATAATGTAGAAAAGCAAAACAAATGGAGATACATGTTTCTATTTTTTTGGACAGAAACGATAAGCAAATACACGCTTGATTATTTCTGAATAATGAAATGCAACAGTCTGCCTGATGTCTAGAAGCAGATATAGCTTGTGTACTACTGTATGTGTTGTATATGTATGTGCTCAGTGATTTCAGCACTGGACAGCTCCCTCACTGCAGTCCAACTCAGCTGAGCCGGTTTTACCCACAGACCTAGAGCTTGAGGAGACCCTTAATAACATGAATTAGCCATAGAAAAGCCTGAAAGTTAGTCAGAATGAAAAAAAACATTCAAGTTAAATAGAAATCAGTACTGAGGGTGTAACTCTGCCAGACACTGCAGCTTGACTTAACACAGTGTAGAGAGACGTCGTTAGAGCAATTTCGCTTGATGAGGAATCGCTGTGTCTGAGCTGGCGCTGCCGCAGCACAAAGGAAAGCCAGAAAGATCAAAGGCCTGACCTGTCATGCTCTCCGGCATGGAGCGAAAGCGCTAATGCGCTAAACTTTAGAGCAGAATGAGACGAGTCAGAGTGCCGTAATGCATTCTTCTTCTGCAGCTGCAGAAACCCATACAAGCATTAAATAATATTTTCATATTCTGTCATGATTTTCCCCCAATCACAATCACACACACACACACACACACACACACACACACACACACACACAAACCAAAAAACACAGAAACCTCAATAACTAAACTAAATATTAAAATGCTCAGTGTTGAGTGAGTCACTCTTTCCCTTTATTCCAGCTTCCATTCTTTTCAGGAGACTCACTTTCAGTTCCTCAAAGAATCTGCAGACACACCTCCAAAGTTCAGTCTTAGAAGCTGGTTGATGATTTTCTGAAGTAATCAAACACATTCAGTGGTGTTGAGGTCTGGACTCTGGGGTGGTCAGTCCATTGTTCAGCTTCTTTGTTTGATGTGTCCGTCTCCTTTTCTCAGTGAGGTTCTTCTTGACAGCTACACATCCTTTCAGACCCACAGCGCTGAGTCGTCTTCTCACAGTGGAAGGATGGACAGAAACACCTGTGGATGTTTTCAGATCTGAAGCAGCTTGATTTTCTCCTCTCTCTCAGAGATGAAAGCTTTAGGTGCTGTTTATCTGATGGGGGCAGTTTTAGCAATTCTGGTTTATATTTATATACATAAATATTCTGTGCAAAATATTAAGATGATTCTCTCACACACACACACACACACACAGACATACACACACACACACACACACAGACACACCGACACACAAACATACACAAATACACACAAATTCGTGCAAACGCTTAATGAGCATATCAAATCCACCTGGTTGCCTGAACATGAACTGACCTTTTTCTATAAAGGCTTTAACAGGGTCAGTGTTATACAACCTTATTTCCAAAAAAACTGTGCAAAATGTAAATAAAAACAAAATACACTGATGTGCAAATCATTTAAACCCTGTATTTCATTGAAAATAATACAAAGACAACAAATCAAATGTTGAAACTGAGAAATTTGTATTGTTTTCAAAAAATATTTGTACATTTTGAATTTGATGCCAACAAATGTTCCAAAAAAGTTAGGACAGGGGCAACAAAAGACTGGTAAAGTTATGTAAAGCTAAGAAAATACCTGGTGGTTAATTGGCAACAGGTCAGTAGCATGATTGGGTATAAAGAGCATCTCAGAGAGGCGGAGTCTTCAGAAGTTCACCACTCTGTAAAAAGACTGCCACCTTCTCTGGGCCTGAGCTCATTTAAAATGAACTGAGGGGAAGCGGAAAAGTGTCCTGTGGTCTGATGAATCAACATTTGATATTCTTTTTGGAAACCATGTATGGGTGATGTGCACGTCTGCGAAGGCACCATTAATGCTGAATGATATATACATGTTTTGGCAACATATGCTGCCATCCAGACAACGTCTTTTCCAGACAATGACAAACCACATTCTGCATGTATTACAGCAGCATTGCTCCGTATTAAAAGAGTCCGGGTGCTAAACTGACCTGCCTACAGTCCAGACCTGTCACCACTGAAAACATTTTGTGCATCATGAAATTAAAAATAGGAGAAAAGAGATCCAGCACTGTTGAGCAGCTGAAATTCTGTATCAAACAAAAACTGGAAAACATTTCATTTTCAGAGCTACAGCAGTGTCTCCTCAGTTCCCAAACACTTACAGTGTTGATAAAAGAAGAGGTGATGAAGCACAGTGGTAAACAGGCCCCCTGTCCCAACTTTTTGGGAACGTGTTGCTGGCATCAAATTCAAAATGGGCAAATATTTTTTCAAAAAACAATAGAATTTCTATTTTTCTATTTTTATTTACATTTTATTTACATTTGTCCCAACTTTTGGAAATGGGGTTGTATATTTGCTTAAATTTGAATACTGACCAAGAATACTACAGAATCTGGAATGTTTCTATATTTCTTCTTCATTTTACTTTTCTTTGTTTTAATTTTTTCTGTTTCTGTTGTTTAATTTCAGTTAACTTGAAAAAATAATACACACACACACACACACAAACACACACACACACCCACCCACACACACACACAAACACACACACACACACACACACACACACACACACACACACACGCACACACACGCACACACACACACACACACACTAGAGATGCATAGCCATACAACAAAATCACACACACACACCCCGGGGGTCTGTGCACATGTAGGCCACTGGCTGCTATTCCAGGTTATCGGGTTCATGTTGTGCTGCCTCCCCCTCCGCTGAGCTCAATTTGTGTCGCATGTTGTTGCTGTTTTCCTCCTCCTGAAAGAACGCGAATGCACTCCAAAGTCTAAAGTCTAATGTTCCAAATCCTAAATCCAGGCAAAGCGGGATAAGGCGGGAGAGGCTTGAATCTAAAAATAATAACACGGCAGCTGGCAAAGCCCAGGCAAATCCGCCTGTGTTAAAAATGCCCATCTCAATTATTGTGTTTAGGCTAAATCGCGATGATGGGGTTTGGCTGAGCAAAGCCTACCCCCTCCTCCCCCCACCTCACTCCATCCCCGTCTCTGCTGCCCCCCATTCCCTGCGGAGAATAAAAAATCCGTAATAATGCTGAGGGTATTTCATAAAGATATATTTGTTTTTTTCTTTGTTTTTTGGCCCAGAGGCCATCAGAAAGGCCCAGAGCAGAAGAGCAGTGTATACAGGGGGGGGCTCTGATGCCATCTGGATGTTGGAAAATACCACTAAAACTGTCAGAGCGATCAGCTCCGTGTGCTCAGGTAATCCACTGCATGCCTGTGTCTCTGTGTTATGCAGGATGCTTCGCTTTTATTACCAAAAAAACACAAAATGCATCATTTCTCTTGTCTATGCTCCTGTGACGCTGATGAGGAGCAGTACTTAAACAGGTGCCTAATGCGACACGCCATGATTGAAGTCTAAGGACATCCATGCCGCCGTCTTAAAGTCATTTCAACATGGAGGCTTTACCAACAAATGCATAATTTATGAAGCATGATGTGTTCTGTGCATGCTGATGCGGCTGCAGCAGAGAGGGGAAAAAACAAGTGCTGAAATCTGAACAGGGTTTTCTGGTGCTGCGTTTTCGGGTGTAGGGATTAAATTCTCCGGCAGAGGATTACATCAAAGCAGTGCGCAAATGTGCAGTGTTTCCCCTACTACTGAAATTAGTGAGCAGGTCACTGTTATAACCATACACTTCTAACCACACAGATAAACATTCACACTTATCTTTTCCTCAGCAACAGAAAAGCGACATTAGTATTTGATAATTTACTTTTACTTTGAAATTAACGACTGTGGAAAATGACTGCAGTCAACTTCAATGATTGTGATCATCTCAAATCATTTTAATCATGTCAAACAATTGCAAGTAGATGATTATGTAATTGTGACAGGCCAATGCTCACGTGTTAATCAGGCTTTTATAGCAGCCACTCAGGTAGTGTACAATACACTTTGTACCTCTTTGCTGAACGTGCTAGTATTGAGCTAGAAACACCACAAAAACAACATTCATGCTTTATAATGTAGTATACGGCACACAATCAAAACATACCATGGACTCGGGGCGCCGTATTGGAGAAGGATGATTCTAAGGGCCTGTGATTGACAGCGGTCATAAAAAATGTAGAACATTTGGTAATTTTTTCTCAATATTAAGCAACCATCATTAACCTTTCATAATTAATACAATATTCTATGTATTGCCCCCATCCTCCCTCTATTTACATGAACTGGTTTGGTTCTGCCCCCAAACCAGGTGCAAATGGTACCTGCGAGCAGTTAATTGTGAGTGAGAAGTGCCAGGGGAGCATCATATGTGATGTTTTTCATGGGGCCCAAAGTCCCTGGCAGTGCCCCCGCATGGACTATATTTCAGCTTGTAGACAGCAGTAGCCTAGGAGGCTAGGCTAGTGATAGTCATAGTGGTGTGGCTTAC